ATAATTTATTTATTACTACATACTACAATCAAGAAAAATACTATACTATATTGTAGTTAAATAAAATACAAGGCGCTTGTCCTTAAATGTGTTGTTTGAAGCTATAAAACAGAGACTTAAATTTAAAACTAAACGCATGAAATATTTTTTTAAATATCAAATTTAGGCAAGTTTTATTAGCTTGTTTTACAGGTATGGAGAAGAAAAAATTCTTTTCGATCTAATGACAAGTTCATGTTTTTTTTGTAATATTTTATTTTTTAAATATTGTTCAACACACACTAATACACAAATTTTTCTTCAGATTATTATGCTTTTATTTCTTTTTATTTTTTATCAGAGTATTTCAATTATATTTTTATTTTGTGTATCTTAATAAAGATATAGACAAATACTATTTAACCTTTAGTAAAGTAAATATATATGAGAATTACTCAAATAAAATTGATATTTTTGGTAAAATATAATGAAACTTTAAGAAAATAAAACAATTATTTTAATTATAAATTTAATAAATTTGTTAGTATACATTAATTACTCAGACTTATAAATAAATTTTAACGTTTAATACAATAAATATGTAAGAATTATTAAGGTGATCGGATAATTGAGTGAAAGATTTTTCTGACACTGTTGAAACAAATCTCATATTAAAAGTTATAAAGATTACGATAAAATGATTTATAAGTGATAAAATAAAATAAAAGTCGTAAATAAATTTTGCATTTTCAGTTTTAATACATTAAATATGTAAGAATTATTTAGGTGATCGGATAATTAAGTGAAAGATTTTTTCTGACACTGTTGAAATAAATCTCACATTAAAAGTTCTAAAGATTACGATAAAATGACTTATTAGTGATTAAATAAAAGTGAAGTCATAAATAAATTTTACATTTTCGCGTTTAATACAATAAATATGTAAGAATTATTTAGGTGATCGGATAATTAAGTGAAAGATTTTTCTGTCACTGTTAAATTAAATCTCATATTAAAAGTTCTAAAGATTACGATAAAATGATTTATTAGTGATTAAATAAAAGTAAAGTCATAAATAAATTTTAAATTTTAACGTTTTATACAAAAAATATGGAAGAATTATTTAGGTGATCGGATAATTAAGTGAAAGATTTTTCTGACAATGTTGAAATGAATCTTATATTAAAAGTTCTAAAAATTGCGATAAAATTACTTAAAATTACTAATTAAAATAAAAGTTCATCGAAGAAGAATAAAGCATGAACAAAATTAAATATCGTAAAATATTTGACGTGATAAATAATTAATTGTTTCTGCCACTTTTCTTCATCTCGTGTATAAACCGTGTCAAAGAGTTAGTAGATGGACATATAATTTACTTTCTAGTAAAATAAAAGTGTCACTACATTTTTATATAAAAGAATATGAGGGTAATGAAATATTGTAACTCACAGCCCAATTATTATATTAAAGAATACGTTTCTTTAGTGAAAAGTTCGTATCGGCGACGTCAAATACTTGAACTGATAAACAAGTATTTTTTCATTAAACGTCATTTTAACTTACATTTGAAGCCGAAAGTTATCTTTTGCTACAAGAATTGGAACAGATATTTAATATTTCAACAATAGATTAATAGAAACAATATCAAGTTTTTAAGTTACTGCATTATAAACTATCAAAATTTATATACTTTTTAATTTGTGACGTAATGATAAATATTTTTATATGTAAGCCAATCTTTATATTTTTATCCCAATAGAAACAATGTAAGTAAGATTTTGGTAAATNTGAACTTATATATATATATATATATATATATATATTTGCTTTAAAAAATATCTTTGCTTTAAGATTATATTAAATAATAACAAAGGTTTTTCTCTTTGTTAAAAACCTTTGAAGCTTATTGAAGGTCTAAAAGTATTAGAATTTCAGAAATTAACAAAGGAAACAGAATTGATTTTCCTTTCTTAAAGGAATATATCAGCCACAAAGCTTTTTTGCAAAAAGGTCAAAAGATATGAAAAAAAGTGCACATCACGATGCCGCAATTTATTTATCTCGGATTACGAAGGAAATAAGAGAGTTCTAGAAACTAAAATAGATGAAAGAAATACGAGAGTCACTGGAGGTACGAAAATCACAATTGATGATTCGCAAAACTTCTAAACACATTCTCCACAAAAACTTACTTAAGTAAGATTCACAGAATAAAAGTAATTTGTTACGACAAATTCTCTAGCTATAATGTCACTAAACATTATTTGTCGAACACATTGAAGCTATAAGATTCTTATTCATTTAGTATTTGGTAACTATATATTTATATAAAGTTAATAACTTTTAGACAAAAAAAATAATCGAGCATGCTTCGCCTTACCAAAAAACTACTTACACACATAAAAAAACCTATTAAGTTGTTTTTGACATATTGATGTTTTATATAGGTTACTGTAAAATATGAATTTTCCGAAGCGATACAGAACAGCTTCATTTCGATGAAACCTGTGTTTTTAATGGATGTACAGCTGAACCAGCAACACCTGTGGCACAATAATGTTTTATGAATCCCTATATTTATTCCTATATCTATATAAACCATATCCCATAATGGTTTTAGCAATTTTGTAAAAAAATTAACCACGATAATAAACACATTTCGGTTCGCATTTGAAGCGAGAAAATTAAATCACCGTCGAAATCTAACGAATCATTATTGAGGAAAGCTGGCAGAAAATATCAGAACTTGCTTGATTGACTAGGGAAACAATGAGGAATTGAAAAGTGATTTTTAAAAACACTTCAATGACTCATAAAAGTAGCAAACGGATGCGGGTTGGGGTTTCTCAACCAGCTTATTCACTATTGATTATCAATAGATTTTAAAAGCATTTTTGCTTTTGATTCGCTTAAATATTAATTTGTCACCCCTAATGCTCTAATATTTTTAATTCCTTTTATTGTAATTATTCAAAAAAAATATGCAATGAAGGTGTTAATTACAAACAAAACTGTACACTATCCTATTTTGCACAAAAATATTTTAATCGCTTTTTCTTTGTTCAATTTTGAAGACACTGTTAAATGGGTAAGATTTTTTGAGTCAAGTTTTCTTGCATCCTTTCGACCTTTCATTCATCACTTTATTTTTAGGAATAAGTAATTCTGCCCCGCCCAATTCTAGGCACTCAGAAAAGTTTATAGAATTCTAAAATCATGACAAACAATCTGGCAACTGGCCAAGAACAAACAAAATTATACATAAAATTTACATTGAAGACATCAAAAGGAAAGAAATGTTTAAATAGACAGCAATGAGAGCAGCGTATCAAAAAATTTATCATGAAAATCAAGATCAATTAACGTGACAGTAGCTGGAATCCAAAAATGGGTATAGCGATAATAGTAGTAGATTATACAAATTTTTCTTATTTAACCTATTTTTTATTGAATTTTTATTTTATTTTTTCATTTCATTACCTATTTTACATTTTTTCATAAATAAAAATTTTAATATATAATAAAGAAATAAAGCAAACACGACTTTGAAATGCTTACTACCAGCATATTTAAGCCCTCATCAGCTGATAAGTTAAAGTAACAAAAAATTTGTTAAAATAAGGATGTAAATTCTAAAGTGTCTAAAACTAGTGTAAAACAAATACGTTATTAAGTTTAAAAGTTTACATATAGAAACTAGCCAGAATAAAGTCTCTTTGACTTAAAAAAACTAATTAATCAAAATTAAATCACTATCATTAAAAAGATATAGAATGGATTTTTAAACAACATAAGCTCAAAATACTTTAATAAAATACTAAGAGCTATATAGTAAATGGTTCCATTTGGATTGAAATTTAAAATTAGTCAAAATTATGAAAATCTAAAATCTAAAATAAAAGTAAACCTCAAGCTGAAAAGTTCTGAAGTTGTATCCAGAAGTAGTGGAAAAAGTTGATCTCCAGGATTGAATGTTTTTTAATAATCGTTCATGAAACCCTTTGTTTATTGGATGCATTTAGCTAGTCCTTTTCATTTTCTGTATGAATAAATAAGTTGCCACTAAGTTTTTGGAATATAGGGCAATTTATTATAAGATACTTCATATCGTGGGTGTTGTCTAAGTATCTGCAATCAAAAGACTTTATCACTAATTTTAAGTCACGACATAATTTTAGCTTTTTTTAAAAAAGAAGTTTCTAGCATGGTCAGTGGTTAGTTGTGTACCTCGTCATTTAATATTTAGACATTGAAACTTTTTGTGGTAATTATTTTTTATTGTATTTTTAAACTTCTAACGTTGTTCTGCATCTCTTTCCATTTATGATTTCATATTTTGGTCTTGGAATATTTTGAACTGATATAATTTATTATATTTTTTAATTTCTTGAGCAGTTTCTTACACATCACCTTTTATTTGTCTATTACTATTTAGACTTTAGAATAATTTGAGTGAATATTTTTATTAGATTTTGAAAAGTTTTAAGTGATCCACATGTCTTGGCATTCATCACTTAGTGTATAGGCTTTGGAATACTTTGTACTGATATTATTAATTGTATTTTAACTTTTTCGTGTAGTGCCTTTCTCAGAACCTTTCATTCCTCTTTTAATATTTTGACCTTCAAATGATTTAAGCAAATATTTTTTATTATATATTTAAAATTCTAGAGCGGTCCTGTGCTCTTTGCATATCTCTTTGCATTCGTCATTTAATGTATAGTTTTTGGAGTATTTTACACTCATATTTGTACTTTGAAATTTGTAGTTTGATGCCTTACCTTGCACCTTTTATTCGTCTTATAATATAATGACCTTTCATAGATTTTAGCAAATATTTTTATCTTATTTTGTAAATTCCATAGCAGTGCTTTATGCTCTTTTTATGTTTCCAAACAATCATTGCTTAATTTTTTTACCTCAGTATAACTTGAGCAATTTTTTTTTGTGCTACTCAGCTAGCTGTTTTAGAATTATATATTTCGTTTAAATCATACTAATATATCTTTTTATTCTAGCTTACCTGGCTCATGCCTCGTGTTTTATTAATATTACTCTAGACGAGGAAAAATGCGCTCCAAAATATCGACATTTGATCAAGATGTCTGAAAATGTGAATGAAAAACAAAATGTAGATGAAGGATTAAAAGGTTCTTGCTGGTAAAACACTTTTTCATTATTTTTCTTCAAATTCTATGAATGCCACTTGATGGATCTGTTTTTCTTAAAGAAGAAATACCTATTATTATTTTGTCCATTTGTATTTTTATGGAAAGAATTTTTTATATCTTTTTTATGTAATGATTTTGAAATGTAAGAGCTTTATAAGTAACTATTAATTTTTTAACCCAAAATACAATGTGTTCTTACATGTCAGGGAATAACTCAAAAGTAGTTAATAACTTTTAATATTTTTAAGACACGTCATTTTATAGTTATATCTTACGCTAGATATTAAGAAGGCGTGTTCAATATCAGGAATTGAGACGTGTTTCCTTATCAAAAGAACTTACAAATATTAAATGGAGTGTTGATTACAAAGTTACTAAAAGTAACGATTATTTAAATAATCCGTCTTATAAACTTATTGTTGCATTTTGAACCTTAATGCTGTATAGGTAAAATTTTTGAAATCTTACTCTATTGAAAAAAAATTTGTACCTGTTGAACCACTATAACTTGCAAATTCATAAGTTACGAAGGAGAATAACTTTACCGCAATAATAATTACTTCTCAAATCTTGTTTAATCAATACTATTGTCAAGTTAATTGAATATATAATTTATTTTAACCCTTTTTTAAAATTCAAAGAAAACTTGCTCGATATTGTGGTTCAAAGAACAGATATTATGGTACAAATTATCGATATCAAGATTCATATAAATTTTTTATTAGTGAATAGTTAGGGAAGCGAAGCCAATGTGATTAAGGGTACCACTTTGATCCGCTATTTTATATCGTATAATTAAAAGCAAAAATTTTTAATCTTAGCATCTTATTAACTCTTTCTCGGTGATTGTGGCTTTTTACTTTCTTAGCAGCGATATTTTTTCTTCTTGGAAACACAAGTGTGATGAATTAAAAAATTTTATCAATTTTATGACAAATCACATATTCAAATAATGCAAGAATAGCTAATTATAAAAAAAATTCCTCGACTTCCGAATGGACAAGAAGATATTTTTTTGTATTGTGTACAGTATGGAGCAAAAACAAATTGAGACTTTTTCAAAGTTTTGTATTTTCAGTGATTTTTGTCTTCGCAAATAAAAGTTGTTTTAAGGTTTCGGTTACTGAATATAATTACTCAATACAAATCAAAATTTTTTGCTTAAAAATATTTTTTATTTTAAAAATTTAATTTGAGAGAGAAAATTATGACCAGGCAAGGAAAAAACTTGAAACTTTAATAGACGTCGATATGGATGTGACTGGAAAGAACAGGGCTACTATTTTTCTTTTCAAAAAAAAGTCTAAAGTAACGAAGGGGCTTAAATAAGATCAGGTTCCATAATAGATAGTCATCTTGAAATGCATTTCAGCTTCTGATTTCAAGTTTCTTTGCTCAAATAAAGCATTTTTTGAAAGTCAATTTTTTGCTTAGTACTGTAGTTATCAAATGGAAATTTCAGGAAATTGTGAAGTACTGCATGTTTTATCTATTTTTATGGTTTTGGGTTTTTTTTCTTTTGTTCATCAGTATTAAATGTTCTACGTATTAAATTTAAACTATAAAAATATTTTCCCTTCGGTTAAAATCCACTTGTAAATTGTATCTATTCAAAAAAGATTTAAAAACAACAAAAAAAATCATTAAAAACATTTTCTTGGGCTAATTTTTGTTCTAGAATTCAGTATTGCATTTTTGAATTTTTTAAAAAATATGCTGGTAGATTTCTTTAGTTGTTTTATAATTAATTTTAGGACATTAAATAATATAAAAAATATTATTATAAATTTTTATTTTGCATTAATGGGTTAAAAAGCGTGATTACATATTTATTGTTGGTAATATGCAATTTTGCTTTTGTACAATGTTGTAAATTCTTCAATATACTAAACCTAATGTAATAATACATTTAATTCCTTTTCTTTCTTGGAAACCATAAATTTAAGTAAAAAATTGTTGGACATTTATAATATTTTACTCAATGTTTTATAAATTCCAAAGCATTGGTAAAAAAAATACACGTTTTATTTTTCTATTTCTGGATCGGGAATAAACTGCTAGATCAAATAAGTTTCGGGATGTCTTTAGATTCTTTTGCCGAAACTTCAATCTCAGCAGGAGATTTCGCTTAAATTTTCATTATTTATTATTTTTTCAAAAAAAAAATCAGGGTATATGTTTTCTAATTTAATGATCTAAATTAATTCTCCAATTAATTTAGATCATTAATCACTAATATACAATATATTATTAAAAAAATTGTGAATTCTCCATTACCATAGTTAAAAATGCCACTTTACGTACTTCCTGTTGGCAATCTGCAATGCTGCTAAATGTAGCAAATTCTTCAATATACTAAACCTAAAGTAATAATACATTCAATTCCTTTTCTTTCTTGGAAACTATCCATTTTAGTAAAAGTTTTAAGGCGATTCAGAATATTTTAATCAATGATTTCTTATAAATTTCAAAGCATTAGTAAAAAAATATACGCTTTTGTATTTCTGGACTGGAAATTAAATGTAAGAGCTAATAAGTTTCGGGACATCTATAGATCCGCTTGCCAAAACTTCAATCTTTGCAGGAGATTTTGCTCAATTTTTTTGTATTTATCAATTTTTCAGAAAGAAAGAAATGCTAGTATAATTTTTAGTAATTTTCCCATTTATTTTGCATCATTTACTACTAATAAAAATATTATTAACAAATTACGATTTCTGCATTACTGGGTTAAAAATGCCAATTTATGTACTTCCTGTTTGACTCTTTGACAATGCTGCTAAATGTTGCAGGTTCTTCAATTTATGTAATAATAGGTTTATTTCCTTTTCTCTCTTGAAAACCATTCATTTCAGTAAAAGCTTTGGGGAGTTCTAGAATATTTTATGCAATAATTTTTAATAAATTCAAAAGCATCAGTAAAAAAAAAGACCTTTTTTATTTCTGGAACGAGAATAAAATGTAAGAGCAAATAACTTTCAGGACATCTTTAGATCCGCTTGCCAAAACTTCAATCTAAGCAGGAGATTTTGCTCAATCGAGCAATCTTCCTATGATATAGTATCCCTTTTGAATAAGGAATCTATCAGTGGAAAAATGGCATTCATTTCCTGGGGGCTTTTTTCGAAACGAAAAAAATTGAGACAGAGTATTTTCCAAGAAGAGAATGGACCTTCGAAAGAATCTTTTCTGTGGAATGTGAGTATTTCGAAGTGACACTCAAACTCACGTTTCAGATTATTAAACTCAGTAGGGGAAGAAGTATGTTAACAGTTGGCCGAAGTTCAAGGTTTTATCGACCGTTTTGAGTGACGGAAAACAATGTTCCCTCAAAAGTTTAGGGATTAATGTCTTTCTGTAATTCTTTATGAATATTTACATTGTACGAATGCCTTCCAACAATTTTTCTCACACTTTAGAAAAATGTTTTTCGCCTAGTCATCAATATTAATGATTCTTTTTGAGAATGAAATTCTCAGAAATTTCACTTTCCGGGTAGCGATTCCTTTTCTGAAAACGAAAATTGTGTTTTTTGTAGGTTTTTTTTCAGGTTTATTCGTGAAATAAATCATGACAAAAAAGTGCTATTTTTTACGTCAAACAAACGTCAAGTTCATTATTATTGATATTATTTTTTAATTAAATTCTTGAAGTTGAATGATTATGGAGAATGTTTGACTTGAATGACTAAAATTCATAGTTTTTAGTGGAGTGATATCTATATTTTTTTATATAATATCTATTGTTATGTTCAACAAATGAAATAAAACGAAGATTAAAGATATGGCCGTTTCAAACGAAAAATAAAGAAAGTCATTTTCAAGCTCTTTTAAATGATAATAATGATGTTGACGTATGCCTGTTTATGCAGAGGGGGTGCGATAGCTCTTGTTTCCCAGTGGCGCCATCTATGGCCAAGAATTCGACTTCTACCACACCATACGTCACACCTGTTTATAGGGCGGACCCATTCATTCATCTACAGATCGTAATTTTGACCTGAATCAGAGAACGATCGATCTCCAATCCAGTACCCCCAGAGGATTGATTTGTTATGGCGAGGACTTTTGCGACTCGACAGATTTAACGTGCATCAGTCACTTTACTACACGGGGAGTCTTCGGCCGGCGGGGTTCAAACCCATGAACTCTCGGACATGGGCCCTCCGCCCTACCGACCAGGCTATTCCGGCCTGATAATAATGATAAAGAAAAGATTTGAACCATGGTAGCCCAGTGGTTAGGCAATCGAGTTCCGGTCCGAAGGGGCCAGGATTCAATTCTTGATTCCACTAAGACCCACTGCGTACATGCGACGTGCATGCTCGCAAAATCTGTGGAATTCAAAGTCCTGTGGTCTGCCACTAAACAGTACCATGGATACAGTGATCTGCCATTGAGTGATGCTGACATCTATCCGTTGGGTTCTAAACTAAGAATTACTTTCACCTAAGCTAAGAATTACGTTGATTTTTTGCTGTTTTTTATTGATTTGTGACACCCCATTTGCATTTGTATGTTTTTATTTTTGATAAGAAACAAATAGATATTAAAGATAGCATTTACGGAATACCTTATATAAAAATATCATACATATTTTTAGAATATTCTAAAATTAAAATTAAAATTAGACATGTTCGGAATTAAATATACATTGTCAAATTATTGCAGAGGTCAGTCATAGTGAAAGTCAGAATGAAAGCATCAAAGCCAGTTTGTTTGAATAATTAAACTGAAAGTTGTTACTAATAATTATCTATCACTTTACATTGCATTGCGCTTCATCCAAAAAGCAAACTAGTTTGGATGCTTTTAGTCCAACCTTCATTGTGAATTACCTCTAGCAGAATTATTCACTAGAATGCAGTAATTTTTTTTTTGTTTTTTCTCTCTTAACTGTATACTGAGATCAATGATTATGAAATGCCTCAAAGATACGATGCCTAATACCCAACAAAGTTTTAACAAATAAGCCGAAGAGCCATTACATTATGACCAACCTCCATCTATAACATTGGGCTCGCCCAGGTTTTCATGGTTTCTCGCCCAGGAACAATGCTTACATGGGGCACATTAGGACCCATAATCCTCATGGAGCAATCCCTGACGAATGTAAGCCACTTGAACATAGTTGCAGACCAGGTTCACCCATTCATGGCAACAGTTTTTCCTGCGGGGAATGGTGCTTACCAACAAGATAATGCACCATGTCATAAGAGTCGAATCGTCATGGATTGGATCGAGGAACATTCCAGTGACTTTCAAGTCATGTCTTGGCCCCCAAATTCACCTGACCTTAATCCAATAGAGCATTTGTGGTCCTACTTGGAAAGCCAAATTCTTGCTGCCACGCTGCCCCCTCGCAATGTGTTGCAGGACCAGTTGGAGAACGCTTGGTTCCAGATACCTCAGACTACCTATCAGCACCTTGTGGAATCAATGCCACGGCGGGTGCTAGCAGTTTTGAGAGCTAAAGGTGGTCCTACATGTTATTAGCAGGGTGGTCATAATGTAATGGCTCTTCGGTGTATAATTGTATGCTCATTTACGAATATGCAACGTAAGTATCTTGTAGATATGATTTCTAAAGTTTAAATAGAAATTGATTTTGAGTTATAATTTTTTCCTCAGTTCTGAGTTAGCTTCCTGAAACCAAGCGTCCAACACATTGGACAACATTTTATATAATGTTATTACTTTAGAAATAACACTTATGACTTTTTCTGCTTGCATGTCTTCACTAATCAATTGTCAATGTAAAAATGTAATTTGTTTTACCTCATTAGTCGAATTTTTTAATTACAATGAAAAATAATAAGAGAAATGAGAAATAAGATTCAAAGTTACCTTTCAGACAGTTTTAAGGCACATAACTTTGTTACTGTTTAAGTCCGGTGGATCTTATTTCATGGCTAAAATGTGAAGAAATTAATAATAAAAATATACTAAAGTATGAAAAAGTGTTAAAAAATAAAATTTATCATTTTTTATGAAAAATTTTAAATAATTGATATTACAATTACATTTGGAGATAATCAAAAAACTTTATTAAAAATTATTTCGTTTATGAGTTTACTTTCTTGTAAGCTATATATTTCTAAGTAATAAAATTTTTACCATTTTATTATATCTCGAAAGGTTAATCGATATTTCTATCACGCTTTAACTTCTGGTGTTAAGATGCTATCTAATTTAGAGTTTGTTAATGAGATTTTTTTCAGAACTTTCTGTCTTTCAATTAACATAAATTAATCGTAGTTTTTATTTATCTTAAATACACTTTTTAGATCAGAATTCGTGCCTCTTCATAAGCATTATCTATTCACTTTCAACTCATTTTGTTATCAGTCAATAGACACGTAAACTGGTTTTACATGCATCAAAATGTGTACTTCACATAATTTTCTCTCACCTTTTTGCCTAATTGCTTGAGAAGCTTTGGTTATCGTTTCTGGTCATCCAAAATATAAGTTCAAAGGAAAATTTGTGATAGCTTTTACTGATAACTTTTACATAAACTGTCATTTGTGAATCACTTGTTGCAAAGGTAACAAGCATGTTCTAAGTTTTCAAAATTCAATGGTTTAAGTAGCATAATTCCATTTTGTTTTACTTTTAAATTATTACAACTTTTGAAGTAATAAAATCTAGTTTAATACAGCCATTGTTTCTAACCATATTCAGTGATTAGAAAAATATAAACGTCATTTCCTATTATTCACATAAATGAATAAGAAAAAACCTGAAAATCATTCAAACCACCTTTTAACTATTAAGAGGAGAAAAGTCTTATGATTGACCTGTCACCATTTCAAATATTTCTGCAATCACACAGCTATTTATTTTAATCTACTAGAATTATTTTTTAAATAAATCTGCATTATAATTCTGACTCTTTAAAAGGCACTCTAATAAGTGTAAGCATCACATTTCGGAACACTTGTTTCATAAATTTCAGAATGCTGAATTCATATATATTATATAAACTTTGATGTGCTAAATTCAAATATGTTTGATGATTTTGATATGCTGAATTCAAATATGTTCTCAGGATCGAAATTCTGAATTTATATATCTTCAATGAATTTCGAGGTGCTGAGTTTAATACTTTGAGGTCATTACAAAATTTTGAAATGTTGAATTCAATACTTTGAGCTCAGTTGAAGTGCTCCAATATTATTTCGCAAATATCTTTTTTTTCTTTATTAAAAAAGAAAAAAAGTTAGAAAAAAAGTAATATTCTAAAGTGAAGATAAAGACTTGAACTTTCCAATTATTGGGTGTGAGGCTCAAAACATGCGATGACCATAAATTCATTTTCACCTATTCTTATACATTGTTTATTCATTTTACCATGACCTAAAACTATTAAAAGTTTTAATTTTAAGCTAAACAGATTACTTTTAAAATGCTTTGATAAATAATTTACCAAATTTATTTACTCTCGAATGTTACACAGCTTGTCCGTTAAAACCAGATTATAAAAATGTTTTTTTAAATTTACTTACTCTCGAATATTGGACAGCGTATCCTTTTAGACGGTATTTCAAAAATGCAGGGTGTTCCGTAATGACCACCCTTGATTTGTATTTTTAGAATCTTCATCAAAAAGAGAAAGCAAAAAATAATACAAAATGGGGTTTTCCAATTTTTATTAGAATGAAAAAAAAATGCTTTTGAAATCTGACTAATCATGGAACAAGAAACAGAACAACAAGACGTAACAATAATAAGCAACAAGATAGGCTTGATTGTGAGGGGAAACGGAGAAGAATCGAAAGATGATTATTAGAAACACCCTCAACTTCCAACTAAACCAGTTTTGCTGCTTATTACATCTGCCATCCTCGACTGTTAATGGTCAGATTTCAGCTGCGATATTTTTCCTTTTTTACCTCAGTTAAATATTAATTTGCGACTCCAAATGCGTATGCTTTTTTGTTTTCACTTTTGATAAGAATTCTAAAATTTCTTATATAGGGCAGTATTTTATGAAACGCCCAGTATATGCTGCATAAATTTTCCTACATTACTAACAAATCTGAGAATGATTATTATAATATGTAAGAGATTTTGCTGTAATAATAAGTGTATAATGGTTGTGTAAATGCGACTAAGCTGTGCAACTTGAAATGTCGTTATTTTAAAAATACTCTGATTCGCAAAAAAAATCCATTTATTTACTAAGTCCTTTGCAAGTTTTCATATTTTTTTCGAAGTCGAATTCGGCCCCAGACAATTGTGTAGATTTCTCAAGTCTTTTAACGATGAACATGTAATGTTGTGAAATCAAGAAATTAATTATTAAATAATTCCTTTCTCTAATAAATTTAAGCTGACCAGCGTCCCCAAAAAACTAAAAACTTGTAGTAAAATTTCTAAAAGTATGTTTGAAAACTCACTGCTTTACCTTTCCAATTTAATATTCTGAGAACAGAAATCAATCGAAGAGATTTTCTAACAAAAATATATTTGTTAAAAATAATTAAAAAGGTAAAAAGGTAGGTTTTCGAATATTATTTTAGAAATTTTGTTACCAGTGCTGAGGACGCCGGTCAACTTGAATAAGTTGCTTATTACATGGCATGTTGAAATTTGTATTTACCCCTCTTTTTGTTGACACAGATTCTAAATTCATTGTTTTTTACTAGAACTATGTGATTCGAAATTTCATTTGATGATTTTATAATTTAAAACTTAATTCCAATTTCGGAGAAAATGTAATTAATTACAAGTATTTATAGTTAGTGATTATAATTTTAAATATTATAATAATCAATCATGAATTGCAATTGCAAATGTAAAGATAATTACAACTAATATAAAACTAGAATAATAAGTAATAATGGTCAACGATTGCAAATAAAGATATCATTACATCCAATCTTATCTACAATTGTAATTTTAATTTAAAATAAGCCTGACCACGTGTATTTTTGATTATAAAGTAATTGATTGCTGTAATTGTATACATTAGCCAAGCTCTGGTTAAATCCTGTATAAAATGCATTTGATAAATAACATTGTAACGTTTTATGTTCTGTTATAATTTGCAGTGCTTTCAGAGAATTTATTCTCTGCAAATACGTCTATGTTGAACGAGACTGTGGACCTGATGCTAATGTCTTTTTACAACAGCATTTAGATCGAATTACAAGCCCTTTGTTACACGAGCACTGTGCCCATTACACTTATGGAACTGGAACCTGCAATTCATCCTCAAGCGATTTGAACTTCACAATCTTTCCTCCAATGATACTAACATTATCTCTTTCGATCGCAGTAATGAATTTTCTCTTTTTCCCCACTTTAATACTACATTTGTAAATGGATAAGAAATCGATACAAGTGGCACAAAATTTCCAAGACAGACTTACATCATTTCCTGATACTTACCCGTTAATGTATTTTGAGTGCTTTGTAATTAGTAGGGTTCTGTAGTTGTCAATGCCAAATCAAATTATATTGTTCCAATATTGGCCACTTCTGAATTCTTTTCGCATGTATGTATATATATTGTAAGTATGTGTAATATATATACTTATAATAATGGAGGAGACACTTTCAATTTTTGGCATTTTTTTAAATTTCTTAAGAAATACTTAAAGGATTATCTGATAGCTTTAAAGATGTTTAGTTCATGCAATTTTTCATACTTAAAATTAAAAATAAAAAATATAAAGCTATGAAATTTAAAGCCATTAGCTTGTAACTTGTATCGATTACTTTAGTTGTTATTTTTAATAACTGCATTAATTTTTGTGCACCCAAAGTAAATATTTGTGAAAATATGGGCATTTTAATAAAAAACTAATTTTTTCACCTTCGTTCTTCCATTATATCTTTTTAGATATTCAATGGAATTAAACAAAATTTTTGGAGCAATTAAAGATTAATTACAAAATTGTCGATTTAAAATTTTAAAAATTTCGTTAAAAACTGCACAAGCTATGAGTATTTAAGCTTGTTCTTTTATACTGCATATACACTTAAAAAGTTTTAAATTTTTTTTCATAACTTTGTAGTAAATCGTATTTGAATATCTTAATTTGATTTGAATATCTTAAAAATTCAAAAAGTTTCAAGCAATTTTTCAAAGTATAGTTTTTGTACTTTTCAAAAAAAAAGCTTAAAACAATCAGGGGTTTTTCACAAAGTTTATTTTGTATCATAAGACAAAATTTAATATCAAATGATAATATCTTACAATAATCGTCTGGAAACTAAACTTAGATGGTATGGAAATAGAAAACATGCAAAAAAAAACAACTTTTAGGGGGATGTGATCCCCTACAATGCCGGTCTCATTTTTAATAAATCTTGCTTAATAGTATACAATTAAATTTGTGTATATCGTTTTTAGGTCTCTTTTTAAAAGTACAAGAGCTATTTAACACCTCTAAATTACAAAACAATCCTTTTAGTATTTCTTTTGAAATTTGAACAAATTTCTAAAACTGAAAGTAGTGTCTCTTCCTTTGGTGTGTGTGTGTATATATATATAACTTATGTGTACATTAACACCTAAAATTGTAACATAATAATAAGTTTTGAATAGATTAGCACAATAAAACAGTTTTTAAGCAACCAATGTATATACAACTTTGAAAAAAAATTATTCTCATTATGTTATTTAAAAATGATTGTATATGCATTCTAAATAAAATGGTTTTAAATTTGTATCGCCTTTTAATCACAAAAATTATTCTGTTTTTTTACTCGCTATTATACAAAATCTTATTTCATAAATGGGGCTAAGCAGCCCCTGCAATTGGAAATGCCACTGCTTAACTCCTTCCTCGTATAATTTTAAACATAAAGCAATAGATTGGGAACTTCAGGATTAAGTATGGGGACAAAATCACCTTCGTATAAGACTTTTTAAGTGAAACTCATTCACATTTGTGTTATCTGAAGAGAAATACCATGAAAACTTCATATGGCTAACCCTTTCGAACCTGACGGGACATATATGTCCCATAAGACTTTCCAAGTAAATAGTTAAGCTAAATAGATCCCATTTTAACATTGTATTTGCACATCACAGTTCCTCTTTCTATTTGGATAGTTAGCAGCACTTGTAAAACTGCCATGATGGCATAGCTTTGAAAAAAAAATCAAATTTTTGTGAATTGTGTGAAAAATTCACACATTCACACAATCACAATTATGAGCAATAAAAGGTCGCGGGTAATTATTTAGGTGAGAAAAAATACTGAAACTTTTAACAATCACCGAATTTGGTAAGCAAGGGAAATACTTAAAGTATCAAAAAGTAATTTTATTCAGTAAAACTGGAATTAGATCGCTTTTCTATAGGAAGTACCTGAACTTTTCTTCATCAGATAAATTTGTTTTTCATTATTTTAATCATTTCTTTGACTTTATTATCTACAATAATGACTGGTCAAAGATTTTTTACTTAGCTAAATATTAATTTTTGACCTCTCTTTTTAATTTCAATCATAAAAAAATTCTAAAAATATATATTAAGAGTGGACATTTCGGAACACTTTATATAATCTTTTTAAAGTTAAAACAAGACTTTTTCAGGTTAAACTATTATACTTGGAGTACACAAAATTTTAAATTAATTTTAATGAAGGTCAGAAAAATGTAAACTAAAGTTTATTAATTGCAATTATTAATTCTTATTATTTTATCCATACTATGCTGCATGCTTTGAGTTCTGAAACGCAAAATTTAAAACTAATTTAAATAAGGGTAAGATCAAGAGCAAATTTAAATAAATTAATTGCAATGATTTATTTCTAATTATTTGTATCAAAGATGTTACATTCAAAATCTACTGCTACATAAAATATCTCGATATTTTAGCTTCAATCTAATCTTACGTCCCAAAGTTAAGTTGAGTTGATGATGAAGAAGGTCTATATCACTCGTTTTTATTCTCCGTGTCTTTGAGAGAAATGAAGTTGTCATTACAGGATGGGGTTGAGTTAAGATGATGAAGAATTAAAATTACAGGGTGATCGTAGAATTCAGCAATTCAATAGTAAGGATAATTCGTCGCATAGTTGGCAACTTTCAAAGATTCAAAAAATAAAATTTTGATTCCAACAATTTTAAAGTGGTACAAAATTATAAGGCGCTCGTAAGACTCGTCAACCTAGAGAATCCTTAACGGAAACGCTTTTTTCCCCCAGAGGCTTTCACAATCTCATTAGATTTACGTAAATTTAAAATTTGTAGATTGGGAACTAGAATTGTTAAGTTTAGCTTAAAAAGAACTCTAAATTGTGGTTTTCATCGTAGTAAAGAAGACTGTGGAAGGAAAACTCCGATTGAGTTGCACAATGTATTTGATCAAATTTTCTAAGAGGAGATGCTTTACAGACACTGGGGAATGACAAGGATCACACCAAGGGGAGTTCACAGGTTCGATCTTGTTCCAAATTGCATTGGGAATTGAATTGGATACGAGTTTATAGTATAGTATTTTCGGTTTAGAAATTGGTTAAGATAGATTTTATTAATTTTACAAGAAAAGGGGAGTGTAGGTGTGCAGTTCTATGAGCCTAAGGGTGAGGAATAGGAGAAATCTTATGGAGATATTAAAGGAACAGCTTGAGGTACCACTGTGGCTGGTTCTGAAGCTTATATGTGGGTTCGTTGAGGGGTATGCTGAAATGGGCCGGGATTCAAGCGATCAAAAGGGGGTTTTAAGATGGTACTTGATGACTTTTTCTTTTTTCTTTTTTTTTTTTGTAACAGGAATATGCTATGAGGGTTAGCTGAGATTAGAGCAGTAATTTCAGATTTGTTGTCTGATAAAATTACATAATCAAGATACTCATGGGCAATTTTTTTTTAATTGCTTAGCCAAATAGCAGAAACAAAATTTGGGGGATGGATTTGAGAAATATAGCACATATTGTGTTTTGAATTAACAGCCACGATGCCAATGTTATTTTTGGACTCAGAAATAAAAAGTTATTCCAAAGAGTATGGAGGTTTTTCTAGAGGAATTCAACTGTTTTTTATTGCTTTGTTCGGGTAGTTGTTTACACATCTGCGAAAAATACCAAAATGTTAAAGAGAATGATATTGTATTTACTGATACCGTTTCAACTGAAGATCTCCTCACGGAAGTGAGAACTTTGCGGGGGAACAATTTAACAAGGACCGATATGCACCCTCGGTCTCAACTCATCCACCCGCTCACTAACCGCAACCAGTGATGCTTGACTGCAGGATCCAGTTCATTTCAAATTTTAATAGCCCCATATAGCATTGATGTAGTTTTCGTTTCACGAAGGCTTTTTGGAAATCTAACAAAATGGTATTACATTGAACAAAAAGAAATTTGACTCAAACACCAGCAATTACAACTTAACTTTTATTTTTTAAAGTACTCAAGAAGTTCAAAATATGTAACGGAATCTGCACTATTTACATGCAGGTTGTGAAGTTTTTAAGCAATTCTATGTGGTCGTGTATCGATTCTCATCCACCAACGCCTCTTTACAGCTCCCGTCGCGTCGTATCTCTGCTGTTCGTGGCTACAGTGAAGAACCATTCTTACCTTATATTATTTAACAATACCGTTCACGTCAGTCGATAAACTTGAAAGACGTATGCAAATCAGAAAAAAAAATATTTTACAAATTGTGTTTCGTGTAATAGCGTGTGAAAAATGAACATTTTTGTTTCCATCATTAAGCTACATATTATGTTCGTCCATCAAAGAACAATTCCGACTAGTATAATGTCTTCATTTAAGCTTAATAAGTCCACGTTTTGGTGAAAATCAAAGTTGAAAATGTGAAAAACGCTGTTTTAAGGAACCGTCGAGGAAAGTTTTTGAAGTCTTATACATTAGGACATCACTGTAAAATGCTCTGTACCTTCAGTGCTAAGTTATAATAATATTCCTAAAATCTTTAATATGCTTTCACTTTATTCGCTCACTTTAAAGCTCTATTTTTAATTTGTCACAATTATTCATGAATGTTTTATCAGCTTCATTCTACTTCTCGCCAACCGCTTAATCATCATCCGTTGTAATCGAAGTTTATCAGTTTTTTTCAGTAATTTATATTCAAATTTAAATCATCACATGAGTTAAATAAGGATAATATCATACGTCATTCTATGAGCTAAAGTCGAAAAATATATTTCTTCATTTCCTGTTGCCAATTAGGGTTGAAGGTAACCCTAAAGCTGCTTAAAAATACATTTTTGTAATATTCATGGAATGAAAAAAAAAATTCTTCTACGTCTGATATGGAAGTCTCCATTTTGCACTCTCTTATAATAAAGGGTTAGAAACAACATTCAAATTCTTCAGAAATCCAGCTATATTAAATAAAAACACCTTTTTTCATATAAACGTATGATTTTTTTCATATTTTTTTCAACAACATATAATAAAAATCCACAGCTATAACAAACAGTTTACAAAATTATCTCCAAGCCCATTTACATGTTGCTTCGGCTTATATCAATTGGAAACTTTTCTTGAATCTTCACATTATCAAACTATGTGAAAATTATAGGAAAAAAACTTACACAGCAGTGGTTGCCCTCAATTAAATTTATTTTGCACCGTGATAGTACAGTGATTAAGGCATTGTGCTATAATTGGGTAGAGCCAGGATTCTATCACCGGTAGTGCCTCCAACAATCAATGGTCAATCGTATAAAGCTAAATGATTGCCTTTGGAAAGTAAAATCATCTGGGGCAAAATGCTGACCACTTTGTCACCAGCATGTCGATGGTCTCTAAATTTCTGAGCCCTAACCTCCATGGCTCTATTTATCAACAACTGGTTGTTGCTTGAGTATACTTTTTAAAGATCTGAGCGCAAACAGCTTTTTCGTTCCTCAAAGAAATTTAACTCTACCACAAAATTTGTAAGCTACA